GCCCCGGGGCCCCCCCCCGCCGCTCCCCCGCGTCCGCTCGCCCCCCTCCTACTCGGCCCTATACCCATCCCGGGAGCAGAAGATGCTGTCAGGTCCCCCCCTGGGCTGTGGGGTGAGCGGACCGAACCCCCTGCCCAAAACGGGGATCCTGGAGGAGTCAGCTGCCCGGAGAGCCAGCAAAAAGTCCATGTTCACCTTTGTCGAGAAGCCGAAGCTGGGTCCCAACCCTGATCTGCTGGACCTGGTCCAGAGCGCGGACAGCAGGAAGAAGCAGAAGGAGCAGGGGGAACCCGGTGCCGAGGATGAGCCCTTTGCCCTCGGGGCTGGGGCTGCCAACTTCGTCCCCAACAGCACGGCCAGGGGTGGGCAGCACCTCCCACCGGCCGACGATGCTCCAGCATGGTCCTCCTGCCTCAAGTCCCCCACCATCCAGCCCAAGCCAAAGCCACAGCCAAGCCACAACCTCAGCGAAGCGCGAGGGAAGGGGGCCGAGCTCTTCGCCCGACGGCAGTCCAGGATGGAGAAGTTCATCATCGAGGCTCCCTCCCAGCCCGAGCTGCTGCGGTCCCCATCGCCCACCATGTCCCTGCCTCCCTCCTGGAAGTACGATGCCAATGCTTGCCTGTCACCCAGGGTCTCCAGACACCCCTCCAGGAGTCCCTCCAGGCCCTCCAAAACCCCCCCAGCATCTCTGTACGGTGGCAACCTGGTGGAGAACGAAGTCTCCCAGAAGGAGCTGGAGATCTCCAAGCACCAGCCCTACCAGCTCCAGTCTTCGCTCTTCATCCTCTCCCCATCCAAGGGGCCAGCGAGGTCCATGCCCCAGGAGACGCCTCCACCCAGACCCTCTCTTCCTGACGCCTACCCCTACCCCCAGCAAACCTCCTGCCCAACCTCTCCATTGCCTCCTTCCCCAGTTTGGCATCCCACCGTGCCCAGCACCGGCCAGACCACCTCCAGCCCCTTCCCCGGTGTCCCCAGGGCTCTGCCCCTGACTCAC